TCACCAAGGAGAACAACGGGGGGGTAAAAGGGACCAATTTGCAAATATCCAGAAAAAAGAGGACTAATTTGTAAATTTTTGAAAAGGTCAAAAGAATAGCTCACCAGCATATGAGGGAAGCACGTCGTCAGCCGGTGCCGCAGGGAAACGACCTCTCGAGACTCGCGACATAATGGCCTACAAAAGAAATCAAGAGGTCAGATCTAAAAAAAAAAAAAAGATCACATTTTTATCCCCTAAAAGATAAGCTCGAGGCGCCAAATTATAATCCGAACCCTCACCCGTGGTCCCACAAATTCATAAATTGAATAAAGCATAAAAAAATGTTGAAATTATGAAGGATATACCTGTGAAAGTGCTCGAACCACACGCTCGAGGGGCCTGAGAGAAATTCCAAAAATGGAAGTTTCGAAGGATTTTTCAGTCAAGGATCAAAAGGAGTACTAGATCTAAGACGAATATCAAGTTTTTAAGGAGATCGGACGCTCGAGGGAAGAGAAATCAAAAAAATAGGACAAGGGGGGGGGCCGGCCCTAGAAAGAGAAGAAGAAAAAAAAATGAAGAAAAAACCCCCTTTTATAGCCTTGAACCAGATCTGGCTGAACCAGACCAGACCAGGGTTGAATCAGACCAAGCCAGATTGAGCCACAATGAGCCAAATTGAGTCAGATTGAGCCTGGCTGGACCAGACCAGATCAGAATTGAGCCAGATTGAACCAGAATGAGCCAGTTTGAGCCAAATTGAACCAGTTTGAACCAAATTTGAACCAGAATTCAAATTGGAGCTGAATTAAACATTGGAACGACTTTTGATCAACCTACGGTTCATTCCTTCACCTATTTAACCCCTCTACCATATATTTGGAAGGGTCGGAGAGATTTTGAACCCAAATACTGCCTTTTTTGGCACATTTTTTGGGCCGGTTCAGATTATTCGAACCTAAAGAACACTCCGAAAAGTATACGAGTATAAACTGCTTCTTAATACTCCAATAAGGTATATGAGTATAAACTATTCCCTATTTTTGGTTTGAGAAGTCCCTGGAGAATATTGTTTATAAATATTCTTAAGGATAACTCAACCACGCTACGCCGGACAACGCGTTGTACATAAAGACTCGACGCCACAATCGATGGTCAGCTAAAAATTAGAAATCAGGAATCGACTTCAAAGTTCAAAATTCCGACAAACGGTCAGACAATAAATGCAGCACCGGAACTCTTACAGACTTTCGACAAAGCACCGAAAAGCCTGGAGAATTGAAGGAGTCAAGAACGGGAATCATTCCAAGATCCCATTACACCGACTAAAGGTGGGGGCAATCATATCCAAAGTATTCCAGACTCTTCTATAAAAGAACGAGACCGAAATACTTTGGAGGGGGTATCTGTAGGCATATAAAATTGCTTATAGGTCCCCTAGCATAGCTCGGCACAAACCGACGAACCAACGAGGCGACGAGATCGACAAATCGCACGCGAACAACGGAATGAATCCACCCGCGTGCAGAATCAAGCTAATGAGTTGAGGAATCAACGAGTCATCCAACCGAGAGCGGACTCGGACGAATCACGATCGAATCAAGATCAATTTCGGACTCGAACTCAGAAGCGGATTTACTGCCAAATCAGGAATCCGACTTACTGCCAAATCAGATCAACCAATCAGAGTCTCAATCAACCGAATCACGGACAAAACCGAAAAACGGACACAACTCAAAAACTCGGAAAACCCACACCCATGGGTGGCTCGGCACAGTGCCGGCCACCCAGAGGTGGCCGACAGTGGCCGACGGTGGCCGACATTTCTCTGTTTGCGGGCACTGTCCTGAGAGCCTATAAATAGGCCTAGAGATGTTCATTTTCGAAGGTCGAACTTTCAAGAGCCGAAACTCTGCCGGATTGAAGAGTGAACTCGGAGCTTTGAAGACCTGAAGACTTGCACATTCGGATCTGATCCTCGGCGAGCATCCACGTCAGAAAAGGCAGGATTTCGAGAGGAAGAAAGAACAGATCTGAGATCTACACGAGACCACACTCTAGATCTAAGCTTGGTCTTAGATCTCGAGATCCGAGCGATTATTCCCTTGGTGGACTAATCCCTCCCGCCTATTATTCCCTTCGTGGAATAATACCCGTATAATCGTGTAGATCCGACCGGATCTAGATCGCGCGGTGGTCCACGGATTAACCCCGGCGCAGGCAAAGAACCCACCAAAGCGAGCGACCGCAAAACAGGAGCTCGTGATTTGTTCACAGAAGGAAAGTTGTAATTTTTTTTTATTTTCTTTGATTTAGTTGTAACCGGATCTATAAAAGACCAGATCTTTGTAATCCAAGATGACAATTATTTCAATGAAAAAGACAACAGTTTTCCCCACGAACAGGGACAACAAGACCCCCCCCCTCATTGGAGAATCATGTATGGCTCATTACCCACTCAAGGTTGAATGAGCACGTGATGTCTTCTCCAGATTTTGTATCAGTGAAGACGAATTTCATCTTTTTCTCATCCCACTGTCTCAAAATATGCTCAAAAGTAGAAAGATCAAGACCAGGAGGGCTAAAATGAACGTAGTGTCTGAATACACTATCTTCATAGGCCTCCCAGTGTCTTTGCCCCATATGCTGCACTAAAGTGTTCATGAATTCATAGTAGGCAGTTAAGCTGGAAGTGGGCCGCAACTTAGATGTGGAGTTTGCCCTTTATCTACAAAGCAAAACCACAATACATAAATAGTTTAAAAATAATCTGTAAACATAACAATTATGCTGTAAACTTGACAAAGAAACTATAAACTTAACAACAAATCCATAAGCTTCACAACCAAAACCTATCCTCAACAACCAATCAATAACCTTAACAATAAAAGTATAACCTTTACAAGTTAACAGTAACATTCACAACGAATAGCCACAAGTAAACAGTAACATCCACAACTAACAGACACACGTCAATAGTAACCTTCACAACTAAGAGCATTATGTAAAGAGTCACAACTATCGCTTAACCTTAACAATTAACAGACCACATGTCACAACTAAACAATAACATTCACAACAGATCAATAACCTTAACAACTAATGCATAACATTAACAATAAAAGCATAACCCTTACAAGTTAACAGTAACATTCACAACTAGTAGCTATAAGTAAACAATAACCTCCACAACTAACAGACACCCATCCATAGTAACATTCACAATTAACAGCCGCATGAAAACAGTAACCTTCACAATAGACTCATAACCTTAACAACTAACATGCCACATGTCACAACTAAACAATAACATTCACAATAGATCAATAACATTAACAACTAATACATAACCTTAACAATTAAAGAATTTTCTTGACAACTACAAGCTAACCTTCACAACTTAACAGTATCCTTCACAATTAACACATCATGCAACATGATAAACAACATAAAAATTACAGTAAAAATCACTTTTTTTTGTTGTTGTATGCTTCTCTTTAGCTCCTCTCTGTAGATCCAGGAGCGCTCTAGAGGCGTCGTCGGTGCCGCCGGTAATGCCGATGCTGCCCTCTAGATTTATACGTTGGCCTGCCTTTTTGGGTTGAGCTGAACTTCTAGGATGAGAATGGCTGGCTGTGATGTCCTCTAGAACATAGTTTGATTACATCCCGTTCAGTTCGAGCTGGGCGATGAAAAGTTTTATAAACAATAGCACGAACTCTCGTTCTTTTACCATCTTTCATGGTATAAGCTGCTTGAATGAAACCAGAAAAAAAAAGTGAAAAGTTGGATCCTTTTTTCCACTGAGCAAGGCAAGATCTACAAAGGTAGGAGAATAGCTGACTCATACCTAGAGGAAAGGCAAGGTCCAACAAGAAGAATAGATAGCTTCCGAGAAAGCGCAACATCAGCAATTGATGTGCCAGCTTCAAACCACTCTGCTGTTGTCTAGTGTCTTTTTGAGACAATGTACTGTGACGCGTCGTCGCCTTCGCAGAATTCGACGGGGACGACTGCTTTGGGAGTTGTCTCGCCGGCCATTTTTCTAATTAATCTCTGAAGTTGGTTGATTTAGGCTAGGGTATTGCAACGAGGAAAATGTTCTAGAGTCGGTTCACTTGGACAAAAGACAAATGAAATGGCACGAACGACGAGGAAGGGTTTAGATAAACGGGAGGTGATTAAATCAAAGGGCATTCTGGGAAACTTTTATGTTTTTGCACGTCAGGTCACGTGGGAAAGGTTTTGGGGGGCTATAGGAATGCAGTTATGTTTTTGGGGGGCGCTGCGAACATTGACAAAGTCATGGGGCGGGCGGGGGGACAGTAGAACACACGAACTCATTTTTGGGGGTAGAAGCAATCTCTGAGAGAAAAGAGTCAAAATAATGACTAAGGATGTCCATCAGCAAAAATAAAATGAGAGGGATAGCAAGTGTAAAAATAAAACCAGATGAAACGCAAGTTCGAAGCAGCGATACTACAGTGAGTAAAAACATCAATAATATAGAGTTTATTAGCAATTAAACCTGGAAAAACATATAATCACAATAAGCTTTGCTACAGGGATTCAAAATATGGGACCAACAGGGGGGACAGGTGAGATGTCCTCCTCCTATTGCATAATAAACTGACCATCATTAATGATAGTCAACTCATTATGCAATAGGACGGAGACACCTCACATGTTTGATGCCAACAATGAAGTTCCACTCCCTTACATATGCTCCTCAACACGCTGACTCCAAATCATTTACATTATAGAGCTTTTGTTCTATCATTTGACATGATCAAAATTAGCCCCTCTACTCTCTTCAGCTCCTAGAATGTTGACGGGAAATAGTGCCATAATTCTGCCATCACAAGAGCCCTCAAATCCACTTTCCTTTGTACTACAACAAAACACTCGCACAATTATGTGTGAAAGGAGGAAATAGTTCTGGCTTCCCTGCTGCAAATTCAAATTTTTGGTTCCAAGAAATTAAAACACAGGTCAAATTAACCACCAAAACACCACAGTTCAGGAGCAACGAAGCTATTAATTCCTCGTCAAATAAACTTTGAAGGCCAACATTGCGTCACAGCAGATACGATAGCGAACTGTTGACTACAAACAAAATCATACATAAAACACTGTTGACTACAAACAAAATCATATATAAAACACGTCTTTTTCTTGGTTCTTTCTTGTGCGCAACTGCAATGGAAACAAGATGCATAACCGGATAATATACTGATTTCGCTGTCAGCGGAAACTTTGAAGGTCCGAACAGATACTGTTGCAATGTGAAGCAGCTTTAGATTTTGAAAATATAAACGTTTGATTGGATCCCAAGAATATCGTCTCTGGAACATGAGTTCGGTTTTGCAAGAACTCACTCCCCAGCTGAGTTCTCGTGCAAGATCACATATTCTCGACTGTCAGGGAAAAGACAGAAACAAGCGAAAAATGCAATGTCAGATATACTCGGGTCATAAATATAAGGTACCTTCCACTAATTAGGTGATTGCATATTTGCATTGATATAATTTCTCAAGAAAAAAAATTAGGGAGGAAGAACAGAGTAAAACCTGAAATATTGCGAATATCAATATGCATTACTAATGTCTATCAGTACAATCATTGTTGTCTATCAAATGCATTTGTTACTGAACTAAGTGACTACATTGATAGACGTGATCGCACTAATAGTGGTTGCATTGACATCATTATCAATTCGTACAATGACTATTGTCTATCAATACAATTGTTGTTGAACTGATAATATAGATATCTAGCTGCGCTGACCGACTCTACTGATAAGCCAGGTGTA